AGCAAGAGACGGTAATCTTTGGATTAAATTAAATTATATTTTTATGCTATCTTAGTAAGTGGGGTTAAAGATATGAGAGGGACTTTATTGCTCTATATTTGAAAGATTGTTTATGAATATGTGTAGGGATACGTTTTTAAACTATATAAGGTGAAAGATTGTTTATGAATATATGGCGTAGAAAGCATAGAAATATAAGTTAACCCAAAGATTACCATCTCTTGCTCAAAAATCAAGAATAAAAGTCTTTATTTCTTGGACAATTACTCACGTTCGAAACTTGGTCCGCCATGTTGCTATGTGACCACGTGCTAGTGGTCGTGGGGCCATGGGAGCTAGTAATAAAATTACCTCGCGATAGTATTATCTATCGCGAGATAAGTTGTTCTATTGCGCGATAATGTTGATTGCAAATTTTTAAAATGAATGGGCTTAGCAAAACTTATTGCGCGATAAAGTCATGAGAATTTTTGTAGGTGGATGGCCCTTGAGAGCCACCGCAGGATTCAAATACAGTCCTCACACATCAAAGAATGTTTGGTCAATGTAGAGATCACTTTAGGTGACAATTTTCATACTTGTTTCGGTTACAAAAACTTTTTTGCGCAACTGAAACAATACATGGTCGAAATTTTTACCTTCAAATGTCTTTACCCCGACAGGGAACGAAAAACAAGAACATGGCTTCTTCACTTACCTAGCAACTAAATACAGGAATGGCTCTGACCTGTAATTGGATGATAAAAATAGTAAAAGTTAATAAGTTATATCTTAACACCTTGCACGTGAGTATTTCCTTTTTTCAGGTATAGTAGAGTTGTTAAAAATTGCCAAGCGAAATTATAGTAATCCGCGACTTTCTTCCTTTCGCTGTTGTGCAAAAATAGACGAGCTGGAGCCCGATGAATGGATTTGTCTTTCATGTGAACAATTTTTCCAGAAAGTCAATGTGGAAAGAGTACCATATAACCCCATACATTAATTATGCATTCCACCTCTTTGTCTTTCATGACAAAACTTTAAAAATAAAGTCTACTAGTCTGAATGCATAATTAATGTATGGGGTGATATGGTACTCTTGCCAGTCAAGGTTCCACGAAGAAAACTCCCTCGATTGCGGGCAAGCCACATTTCTCCAGCAGAGCATACTGTAAATTAAAAATATCGGTCGGAGCGTCACGTAACATTGCGTGATTTTCGAAACGTGACGTGCAGTTGCTGCATTAAACTTTAGACATCACATGGCCTTGTATTAATTTTGAGGGCCCCATTCACAAGCATTGTAATGTTCAACTTAAGAAGAACTTAATAAAAAGCTCTTTCGATTTTATTTCAGTTTAAAATTTATTTCGCCAAAAAGAAAAAAAAAAAAAAATTAATAAACGCATGAGTCGGAGCCATTCCTGCCAGCAGTGAGATACAGGAATGGCTCCAGTCTTTACTCGTCCACCTGAACTGAGTCTTTCTGTGGTCGAAGATATATCCAATCCAAGACTTAAGGTTACTTCCCACCTTCGCGGGTGTCCTTCGGAAAATATTCGTACGCGCACTACTCTCATTAAATCCTAGCAAACTATACATTAGAAGAAAGCTTAATAAATGCAAATTACAATAAAAATATGATTTAAGTGAGTTTTCTTTAAGGAAGTGTCAGGAGTCGGTACGGCGTGAATCGATTGAGGGTTCTCCTATTTAATTTATCGGGTGTCGGACGCCGCAGCACAAGCAAAATGTCTATGCAGTCTTTATATTCACAAGGTATCAATCAACAAACGCTAGTCAGGCTTTTTCGGTATTTTGACTGGTTGTCTAGTTATTGGCATCTAAAGTTGGAGTAGCTAAAAATATGCATGGCGTGGTGCGTAAATGGAAGCAAACATTACATTTTACTCGTATAAACATTGGCTAAGTCCATTTCTGAAAAAAACGGCGGCAAAAAAGCGACCGTCTCTTCAAAATCGTCTCGAACGTCGAACAACCTTTCGCTATAATCTTTCTAGCAGACCTAAGAGACATTTGTGAGAACACTGGGTTTGGTTGGCAAAAGCAATTGATGAGAGAAACTGTGTACTGAGGACATCGGCATGCATTTCAAGATTGTGAGAGTATCAGACTCAGCGACATTGTCAGAGGGTGAGTACATTTCGTTGAGAGCAGAATTTTGCGACACCGACTCTCGAGTTGCAAACATCTCAGGCATAAAGTGTGTATAAAAGGCAACTAGAATCCTCTTTTCATTGATTTAGCGAAAGAGAGGATTCTAGTTGCCTTTTATACACACTTTATGCCTGGGATGTTTGCAACTCGAGAGTCAGTGTCGCAAAATCCTGCTCTCAACGAAATGTACTCACCCTCTGACAAGGGAGATGACAAAACGCGGAGCCCTACTCCATGGAGTACCCTATGGAGTACCTGGATGGAGTACCCCTAAAAATCATGTATTTAGTCAAATAAAATACTTTATGAATATGGAGAATCGTTTAGATGTACATATCCTGATATATTTTGAGTTTGTAAGCTCTCCGATTGTCGCAGTTTGATGTAGTACACGAATTGACCGCAATCTTGAAATTAACATTAAACTGCTGACCACTTCTAACGGAAAGCTTTACTGTAGCTAGCATCCATAAACGTTATCGTTAATAGGCCGACTACCATCTATTTTCATATAATCTTCAAGAGGCCAAAAGGACGGACAACCTTCATTCTGCAACGAGTGTTACGTCTTCCAAAATACCTGTTTTTGTGTGGCGTCTGTAAGAAGTGTGGCGCTCCATCTAATAATAACACGATGGCCTCTGTCATGGGTTTCTTAATTGTGCGAAACGATGAGGATACAAGCTCACATTTGTAGGTTGAGACTTAAAAAGGTAATCCATATCTTTAAACTGAGCTTCTCCTCACCCATCTATTTGTAGCGCAATAAAACTGAGGTATGTAAACAAACCAAAAAAAAAAAAAACGGGTCAGCAAATAAATCCGACTGGGGTTGTTGATCTGGGAAATGCAGTAAGCTTAAATATTTTACCTCGTGCAGAAATCGAAACAGTGGGTTTTGTTCATCACATGGAGTTGTTTGCCTTATCGTCCAAGGACTCATTACACAGCGGTAATTATAAAACAAAAATGGAGGAACCAGTAAGACTGAGAGCCCTAGTCACCTGTCCCCCAAAAAACTGGATTGTATCGAACTGTGACATTCGGAGAGCTGGTAAGCTCAATATATTTTATAATATGTACATCTAAACGATTCACCATGTTCATAAAATATATTATTTGACCAATACATGACTTTTAGGGGTACTCCATTAAGGTACTCCATAAGGTACTCCATGGAGTAGGGCTCCGCGTTTTGTCATCTCCCCTCTGACAATGTCGCTGAGTCTGATACTCTCACAATCTTGAAATGCATGCCGATGTCCTTAGTACACAGTTTCTCTCATCAATTGCCTTTCCAACCATGCATTTTAACCTTTTCGGACTTTAAGGAGTTCGGGGAAGCATAGTTTCTGCCCTACGTGAATCACTAGTAAAGGTGGCGTGATGTGATCAACGATGGCGGATTGTCCTTTCGATTTACATCAGCTTTCACGGCATCAAATTAACCTTTTTGCTACCAACACATATCATGTAAGTCGACAAGTATCACGCAATAAAATATTAATAATTTTGATCAATCTTTCCGAGAGCTCTCCCCGCGTTTGATATTTCAACAAGGCAACGAACCATATCGAATCTGTTACATTATTGACATAATGTAACAAATAATATCGAGCCAAAAGCGGCAACTGAGGCACGACAGAGACATTTGTCAGAAAATTCGACTACATGCGCCCTCGATGTTCACCATCAACTGCTGCGTTTCCTCGCCGGAGAATAATCCAAATATGGCGGCGAAAAAAGTTCTGAAATAGGGCTCAACTTGTTCTATTCGAAGATTCTCTCCTCGTTCATGTCTAAACGGTACTCTCTGCGTAATCTCTTGTAAAAATTTCAAGTTATTTTAAGTTAATAAAACAAAGATGTGGTTTACGAAATTTTGATGATACAGACCAAAAAGCGGGAGTTAGATGTAAATTTCACGTCAGCACGGGTTATGAAATCGGTTGCCCCAAAAATTTATTACTGAATTAGGAAGTCCAGTGATGGTTTTCATTGCCCATGTAGGAATAATGATCACAAGTGGTTGGTCATTGGAGATATTGGCCTTAAAATAACCTTATTTTTGACTGTGACTAAAAGTAGGACTCGGGTACGTGGGACGCGGGGATGTGGGACGTGGGACGCGAAGACTCGGGGACGCCGGGACTCGGGGACGTGGGATGCGAGGAAGTAGGGACTTGGTGACGCGCTGGGACTCAGGGACGTGATAAACAAAGAACACTTGATTTTGTCGCTGAATCTGTAAAGTATAATTTTCGGTGGCCTCGAGAAAGGTATTATACTACCTAAACAGGTCCACGTCCCACTTTTAGTTACAGCCCTTATTTTTGGACTTTATCAAAACCAGAAAAGTCGTCTTTACTGAAGGGAGAGGTAAGGGAAGAAATGAAATGAAAAAGTTAAAACAATTCAATATTCTTGAGAACTGTTAGATATAGAACACAATCTAGTTGATTGAATTTGCAGATGGCTTTTCGGTTTGTCACAGCAGCGATGCAAAGTTATCTAATTAATTATGCATAACGTGCAGGAAATGGGGGTGTTCCCAGGGGGACCCTATATCTCCCAAGGAACTATATATTTTGACCTATTATTTTCACCCATCTGTTGATTCATGATTCTTAGCATTTGTGCCAAGTTGTGCCAAGTTTGAGTCAAATCGGTGATTTGTGCTTTATCGCCCCTGCCCGTTTCTGCCCGGTTCTCTCGTGGACACGCTGTTAGTTATCGGTTGAATGTCAATTAGCCATCATATTCTTGAATCATCTTTCTCTTGTGGAACAGACAAAGTATTTGGGATGCAGTAGGTTTTCTGTTTTGTATGTGAGACGAATAGCTTGTTTTGTTTCATTTATTTATTTCTCCAAACCTTAGCAGATGATAATACAGAATTAGATACAAGATGAAAAAGTAAGTAAAAAGTATAAAATTTTCAAGGAAAGAAAACTTACAATACCAAATTACACCATTTAGATTAAGTGACATTGTATATAGATAGCAGAGAAGAGGAGCACGTCTAGATCAACTAATATTGTGCCCCTTGAGTTACGTAGTTATAACAAAAACCTTGTAATTTTTTAGTAAAAAAGTAAAGGAAAACTTTTAAAAATAGCTCAGTAAATTGTCAAAGAGATGATGTTTCATTTGTACTGAGCAAGGTACCAGCGTAAAAGTGCTTTTATACACATTGTTTCATATTCTGATTAATTGCGGAATACTGTACTGCATGCCGGCATTTTTCCACACGTGTCAGAGAGCACTTAGTCACAGTTTGAAGCATCTGAAAGATTCTCCACATTGTCGCGCTTTATGTTCAGCAGATAACTTCCGTATTTTAGATCACGCCCATACCGGCTTTCAACTTAAGATAATTAACAACTATTCACCGAAGTGGAGGTGGTTAGTGGTGGATATTTACCGAGCCGCTTCGCAGCTCGGTAAATATCCACCGCTAACCACCGACACTGAGGTGAATAAATGTTTTAGTATATACTAAAACAGTGAGATAATATACACCACCGTCGTTAATTTGAGTGATTTCTTCGCTTGTCACGGATGCAAACCGGGGCGCCATTTTTTCCCGAGTTGCTCGGAGGTAAATAGCAAAGGATATTCGGAGTTTGACTAGCCAATCAAAGCGCGCCTTCAACGCTATCCACTGTTTTAGTGTATACTAAAAGAGGCTATTCATATTCAAATAGAACAACCATCCCTGAATCAACAATTACACCCTGTAAATCTAAAACTATCCTTTTAATTCTCACATTTTCATGCTTTACCTCTTTTCTTGTTATTACTATTTATCATAGTTAACATTGTTCTACTTGCTAATTAATTCAACTTCCAACGTTTTGTACAGTAATTAACTAAAGATGACAGAAGTTTCTGTCGAAACAGGTATTACAGACTCAAAAGTTTTGTCGCTTTCTTGGAATATTATTTAGCTATTATTTCAAAGTATCTACCAATCAACTCTACTTCCTATCATTATTATACAACCTCTAGTTCTTTTCAATGCCATAAAAAATTGTGCTTTACCATTAGTCACATACAGTCTTTGACTGTCTATTTTTATTTACTGTATACTATGCAAATTTACTCCTTACGTGCGTCAAGAAAGACTCACTAGTTTCCCTAACGTTCACGTGTTTTATATGAACCAATCAAAAATATAACGTCGTGACGAGGCAAGTAATGTAGCGTTCGAGGTGCTTTTGATTCGTCATTAACCAATCAGAAACGCAATATTTCGTTGAAAGTGCAACAGAGTATACATAAAATAAACCCATGAAAGAGCAGGATGGGCCACCCAATTGAGTTTCACAGTTCTCATCTCCACTGTATGATAATTTTTAGCTCTGTCTCTCTCACTTTATACGATATTAAATATATAACATATGGTTGGTGTAGCTTTTAAGGAAGGGGGAAGTCCCAAACTAACTTGTTAACTCCTCAAATATGTTTTCCGATTGAAAGAGAACTTGTCGCGTGCCCTGGGCAAAAGCTCATTAACTCTCTATGAAAACAGCTACTTGAAATGAATAAGAGTACCGCAAGGGAGATATAGACGGTTCTTTGCGGAAGGGTTGTCGGAAAAACGGACAAAGTACACGCGACAATCTTGACGGATGATCTTGGTATGAGGTAATCAGTGAGTTTTAATAAGTGAAAAAAATGAATTTGAGTGAATGAGGAGGGGATAAATAACGATATGCACGTGAATACGAGAGGAACAAAACTAGAAAACTAGGTTGTAAACATTTTTTTCTTTAGGTAACTGCATCGTCATTTTTATATATTCTTCATCAAGTTTAACATTGAAATTCAATCTTGCGAACAAAGTAAAAAAAAAATATCAAACCCGCTATGCCTCTTCCTTACAGTGATGTCTTCTCAAATTTCCCCGAAATCCTGAGGTTAAGGAACTGTAACTTGAAAACTGCCCACAATGCCATCGGGGGTTGTCGTCTTCACTTTTTCAGATTACATTTCTGCACATTTTTTGTATATTTTTTAAATCATCGCTCTGAATCACTGGCTGACTACCAAAACCCTCTTTAGTTACTAGAGGCTCGATTTTGCTTGTTTGAATCAAAGGATCATTTATGGCTTTTAGTACAATTAGTCTAAATTGTCTATATTCTAACTATGATCTGTTCAGAATATCCACGAGTTCAACATAGTGTCACTGATTTTTTTCCGGTTTCTTGTGCTTCTTTTGGTATCAAATAGAAATCAAGTTCTAAAGTAATAAAGAGAAATAAAGATCACAATTCCGATTTTTTTTTTGCACCTGACCATACTCACAGAGATGGAGATTCACATGACATTTAACATAACATTTGAAAAACAAGCATAACCTTGTCTTAACACCTTTCACTTTAACAAAGTTCTCAGACTTCACAAGCTAATTTTCAATCGGGCAATTAGCTATTATTATTATATTCACATATGCTTTGTCTAACAATGGGCTTGATGCTTTCTCAGTAAAGAAAAAAAGAAAACCTGCAAGTGCAGCTAAGCTTTCTTATGCCTGATTGATATGGTTTTCTTTTTTCCTCCGACCAGATAACATTCCAGATATAGGTTTGACGTTTATGGTTTACTGTGCTTCACAGTAGCAGCTTTTTGTGCTATTTTTTAACACGGTTACTAAATGATTGGTAAAACCTCTCAATCGATGAGTAACACCACAATAAAAGAACAAAATCGGTTGCTTACCTCTCGACCAACACATGTGTGCCACCTTCTTCTAAACTTTGTGTTCCTAGCTAAGATCCTCAGTCTTGCATCTCGTACACCTTGTACCAAAGCCTGAAAGCTGTTGTGAGTGGAGTCTAGTGACTCCACGACACAAGTGGTTGTTTTGAGCCTTCTTTCCGCTTCAAGATCCCTCTCCTGTAAAGAAATTAATGATACTTATTAAACTCCTTGGCATTTGAAAAGTATCCCACATAAGGCCCTGCCTTTGATTGCAAATGGCAGCTCAAAATTATAATCTACCCTACTATAGTAACTTCTGACTTACACTCTGTAATATTTTATGTATTCGTCATGGACCAATCAGAAACGCGATGTTTCGTTGGAAATACAATAAAGTAAAGATAAAATATAGCCTATGAAAGTCATATGGGCTACCCAAGTGAGTTTTACAGCTTTTTGTCACCACTGTATAATAATCACCATCATCATCACAATCATCATCTCTGTCTTTCTCATTTTATTTGATAGTAGATATATAATATATTGTTGGTGGACCTTTTAAGGAGGAGAGGAGTTCCTAACTAAATTGTCAATCAATGAATTTTACAAATAAAATACAATATTACTACGGACAAGAGACTTACTGAATACGGACATACACATTAAAACGAGGAGAACAAAACAATAGCAAATTAAAATGTAAACTGTATTTTCCTTAGGTCATTGTAAAAGGGTCAGTTTGTTCTTCCTTTTTTTTTTTGGTTTTTTTATCAGTCAGTCATGCGAACAAAGTAAAAAAGTCAAACCTGCCATGCCTCTTCCTTACATTGATGTTTTCTCAGATATTCCTGAAATCCGGAAGTTAAGGAACCCTAACCTGAAAACTACCCATAATGCCTTTTGGGGTTATCGCCTGTACTTTTCTTCAGACTACCTCTCTGCAAACAGCATATATCTTTTCATTTCACCGCTACGAATACTAACCAACTGACTACTTAAACTCTTTTTAAACTATTTTTCAGTTGCCAGAGGCCCAATTCTTTGTGCTTGAAAATGTGTCATTTATGGCTTTGAGTACAATTAATCTATATTGTCCATATTCTAATTATAATCTGTTCAGAATATCCACGAGCTCACTGTAGCGACACTGATTTTTCTGTTTTTTCTTTTTTTTTTTGTGCTTCGTCTGGCATCAAATAGGAATCAAGTCCACAAAAAGCAAAAGGGAAATAAAGATCAGATTTCTGATATTTTGCACCTGATTAATACAGAGATCGAGATTCACATGACTTAACATAACATTTGTAAAACAAGCGTAACTTTGTCTTAACAACTTTCACTTTAAACAAGCTCTCAGACTTCAAAAGCTAGACATCTCTCGGGCAATTAGCTAATATTAACATATTCACAGATCCTTCGTCTAACAATGGGGTTCATGCCTTCTTAGTAAAAAGAAAAAAGCCTAGGCTATCATATGCTTGATTAATTTGTTTTTGTCTTTGTTGTTGTTTTTTTTTTCAACCAGATAACATTCCAGATATAGGTTTGACGTTTATGATTTACAATGCTTTACAGTAGCATTTTTTGTGCTATTTTGTAACACGGTTGCTAAATGATTAGTAGAACCTCTCAATCAATGGGTAATACCACAAAAGAACAAAATCAGTTGCTTACCCCTTGACCAACACATGTGTGCCACCTTCTTCTAAACTGTGTGTTCCTGGCTGAGATCCTCAGTCTTGCATCTCGTACACCTTGTACCAAAGCCTGAAAGCTGTTGTGAGTGGAGTCTAGTGACTCCACGACAGAAGCGGTTGTTTTGAGCCTTCTTTCCGCCTCAAGAACCCTCTCCTGTAAATAAATTTAGTACTACCTATTAATTACCTTGGGATCTGAAAAGTATCCCATATGCCTCTGATTGCAAATGGCAGCTCCAAATTATGGTCTACCCTCCTATTTCCTATAATTTGGTCGTAATTACTAAATCTCAGAGTTGCCGTTGAGTTTGGAAGCAGAAATTACATCCAAGATACCACCTGTGGCAGTATAGTAGGTGGTCCAGTATGACAAAACACCAATTGAAACCTTTTCCCTAAATATTGAGTGAACTCAGCTGTAACAAGTAAACACTACAAGTTATTGCCCTTATCATGACAGCCGTTAATCTTGGAGTACACAATACAAACGATGACGAAATCTACATTGACAATACGCTACAAACACGAAACGCGTGAAATGAACAAAACATAGAAACCCGCTGACGTTGCATTTTTTAAAAACGTAGAGAAAAATTTCCCCGTCAACTCCATTCGAATTCGATTTCTTTAGAGCAAAATCAACACATACGTAAAAACCTTCAAAATAACAAGCGAATACAATCTTCAGAAGGGGGTGATATAAGTTTTTATCATCAAAATGATTGCACTGAGGCCATTTTTAACCCTGATCACTCTCACTTACGCAACCAAAAAATATTGCCAAAACAAACCTCTTGCTGATGGTCACAAACAGAGCACTCAACACAATACGCCTCTCTTTCTACGGCATCAGTATTTGGACATCCCGAACTGTTATTGCAACGATGACAAGGAAAGAACTTGCCGCAGGATGGGATTTTGACCCGACAAAGCTGCTGATAATGTTCACACAGCCACTGCCGACTGTCAACAATCACGATTTTTCTTCCACTGCTGGTCGAGCTTCCTTCTTCACTCTTATTTTTGTTTTCCATTTGTCTAGGCCGTGCTAGTCTCTTCCTGGCCCTGATCTGAGATTATCTTTTGTACACCCAGAGATGTTGAGGCTACGATGACAAGGAAATTTAATCCACAACGGATTTGGATACAGAGGACCAACTAAAGACTATTTTTTAAAATTACTCTGTTTTTCTGCTGTCAAATCTCGACTCAAGAAATATACGTACCACGCGAGTCTGTAAGTGTCATTTGAATTAAGCCAAATTAATTGCGACTGTCACGAAGACAAACTTAGGGCGACATCTCTCGACCAATACTTCTTCTAGCAGAGTTACTGTCATTCAGGAAGTAAGTTATTACCTCCAAACAAATACAGCACTCATCGTGCCCACATTTATCTCTTCCTTCAAGCCTTTTGTCCATACAGACTTTTCACATATCGCAGTGGAAGGAGCGGTATTTGTAAAAGCTGAACCAAAAGACCAAATATGAACATAAGGTAAAAAAGTGTGCTAACTGGATTTAAATTGCTAATTAGTTGGTAGTATTTTGTCACTAAACTAGACATGTAAAAGCACTTTTAAAGGGAATTTAGCGAAGGATTAGGGAACCAGAATGTAAAACTGAGCTCTCTGACAGATAATTTCTGTTACTGCTACTTTCAGTTTCAGGTTTTATTCCGCTCTGATGCTAGCTTTGCGCTAGTACTCTTCACCTCTACGGCGAAAGAAGGCTTCTAATCCCATGACCACTGTTTCTGTGAAAATCAAGCTAACGAAGTAAGTTGTACAGAAATATTGTTCGACCTAGCGGCAGATGCTATATTTTGTGCAGTGATATGGATATATGTCCTCTCCAGTAAAGAGCTTACAGAATGAACAGATATAACCCGAGAACTTTGTCAAATTCAGGATTTCATTTCTAATATATAATATATATTTTCTCCATGATTCGTAAATTTCGTTAATTCATAATTATTTACAGTTCGATTCTGTGTTTGTGTGTATGTGTGTGTGTGTGTATCCCGACCCTAATATTGTAATTCATTCTATGAAATTTGGCTTCCTAGCGTTGTTAACCCTCTAGTTATTTTAGGAAGCCAAACCCTCTTAGTTTTAATATTTCTATTTGATGTTAACTTAATCTTTTCAAGAATAAGGGTGAATAAAGTTCTTGTTGTTGTTGTTGGTACAGGTTCGGGCGCCCTGATTGATCTTAAAATTTCGAACATACAGAAGTAAATTCTTTGAGCTAGGCGTAGCAAGGCAATTTCATATACTAGTATACAATTATGAGTGAATAACATGTCCACTTACCTCTTATTGACGGTAACGAACCGAGCACTAAACAAAAACAAGCCTCTATTACTTTGGAATTATCATTTGGACACGCAGAACAGTAATGGGAATGATGACAAGGAAAAAATCTGCCGCAGCACCTCAGTCTAGCTAGTGCGCTTTCCTTGTTAGGAAGAACTCCTAGAGTGCATGGCTTCTGTTTCAAACTGAGATGATAGGACAGCGTGCTCATTTGGTCTGTGGAGGTCTTCGGTAGAATTCGTCGGGGCTGCTGACAGCGGCCTCAACAATAGGTGTTCTTCTTTCATTGGCTGTTTTATTTCTCGACTTTGCACTCAGCGTTTGACTACGTGCAAATATGTAGTTTGTTTACTAGGAGGCTGAGGCAGTTGTAGAGCGTCGTGGCTGCTGATGGCGCCCTCAACAATGGGTGTTCTTTTTTCATTGGCTGTTTTATTTCTCGACTTTGCACTTCACGTGTTGACTACATGTAGTTTGTTGACAAGGGACTGAAAGGCTGATTTAAACAAAAGATCACATGATGACACCTAGTCACACCTTATAGTTAAACCAGTTCGACGGGAATAGTTAAAAGGTGTTGTTACTCATAGTTGAATTATGATAGATTACGTCCACCTGTTTCGATGATCACCGCGGTGATGCTAACAATTACCACCCAATATCGGTGATTCCAATAATGGCGAAGGTGTTTGAAAGGATAGTGTATGAACAGTTATATGCCTATTTGGAAGAGCACGATATTTTATGTCAAAACCAATCAGGGTTTCGTGCTAATCATTCAACTGTAACAGCTTTGTTGGAAGCGACAGATTCTTGGGCATATAATATTGATAACGAGAAAATCAATGGAGTCATTTTTCTAGATTTGAAAAAAGCTTTTGACACTGTTGATCATCAGATCCTTCTATCGAAACTAAACTATTATGGTATACATGGAAAATCTTTCAGATGGTTTCAGTCATATTTGGAAAACCGAACACAAAAATGCTCTGTCAACGGGTCGCTATCCAGTAGCTACTCGTTGACTTGCGGCGTCCCTCAAGGGACCAT